AGAGCGGGCAGGGAGCCCCCAAGGAGGCCCTGGCTTTTCCAGCTCCTTTGCAGCCACACTCTGATGCCCACGTCTGCCGGGGGCTGGAGGCGCGTCGCAAACATGGGCCCGGCGTCACGCCCCGGCGAGCTGGCCATTCGATCCAGTTTGGAGCAGCACGGACCAGGTCATAGGGAGAGTGGGAGAAAATCAGGAAGGGACCCAGCCATCCTAGCGTGGCCGCCAGCTCTCACCATTCAGCCGCGCTCCCTCCCTGCACCTGTGGGACGACGGACTTCCCCGCCCTTTGCTCCCACGGCAGACGGAGCGAGAAGCCCCCCGAGCGACGCGGTATGCGGGTGCAGAGCTGAGCCGCCGAGCGGCGGCGTGAGTCTCCAAGGGCCACCAGCACCCTCAGAGACACAGCTCATAGATGCTGGTGTCGGAGGGGCTGGCCTCATGCACCGGAGAAGGGCGGGACTCTGGGTAGGGCTGTCCCAGCTCTCAGCTCCCCATTAAGCAGCATCTCCCCAAATAGCAAGCGAGGGAAGAAATACCCGACCCTCGTGAACTCACTATTTCCAGCCACGTGCACGGCCAGCTCACTAGGAGCACGGCGCTAGGGTTAAGTATTTGCAATGGCTCTTTGGTCCCGGTGCCCGCGCCGGAGAAGGGCGGGACTCTGGGTAGGGCTGTCCCAGCTCTCAGCTCCCCATTAAGCAGCATCTCCCCAAATAGCAAGCGAGGGAAGAAATACCCGACCCTCGTGAACTCACTATTTCCAGCCACGTGCACGGCCAGCTCACTAGGAGCACGGCGCTAGGGTTAAGTATTTGCAATGGCTCTTTGGTCCCGGTGCCCGCGTGTAACCGAGGGCCGGACTGGCCTCTCCCTGTCACGCTGCGGCAGAAAGCACCACAGGGAAAGCACCCAGGCTGTTCCCTCTAACAATGCGTCTGTGCTTGCAAACACCAGCCTGTCTCCAACCCGGCGGGCCCAGCCCTGGAAACCCACGGTCTGAAGGAACGAGATAGCACAGTGTAAGCGCTAACGGGAGAGCACAGAGTTCCATCGGAGCCTGAGGAAGAGAGTCACGAGCAAAGAAGCTACCTCCAGGGGCAGGTTGTGATCAGCAGTGAATGATGGGAAAGCCTCCCTGTGCCCGTCTAGGAAAAGAGTCGTTCTTTGCCCAGTTTCGTTCTGCGTTTGCAGCCAGCAGCTCAGAACACGCTCCCGGAGCGTCTCCCCCATCCCGTCCCCCCACTTCCTTCCGCTCTTTGGTGGCAGGGGAGAACAGACAGCAGAATATCGAGCGGAGAAAGCCAGTCCCTGGCTAGCTTTGTCATTTACCCCCAAATCCTTGAGGCCGACAGCACAGTCCAGACTCCGGGGAGGCTGGCGGGAAAGGCCATTAACCAAAGCCTAAATCCGACGCCTCCTCCCGCGTTTCTGCACGGAACGAAGAAAACCCTCTTCTCCTCTCAGCCGTTTGCTTCCACTCCCGGCCCCGCAAGAGCCGGCCCCGCAGAAGCCTCCTGCTCACGTTAAAAGGGACTAATGAGAACAGGAGAGCTAGGCCAAGAACTCTGAAGAGATGAAGCAACTCCTAAGGTGCATTTGTTTGCTTAG